ATTAAATTTTTAATTATATAAAAACCTACAAATCTTTAATCATACTTCTTCCTATATTATTAAAACCTATAAAAATACTATTAAATCTAAATAATTAACTATCAACAGTACCACAATCTATATAAACTCAAAAAATATCAAACATAAATATAAAAATAATCCAAATAACACACAAACACATACAAAAAAGGTTTATACAAAATTCCACCTCCTCCTCTCCCTCTTCTCACTTGAATACCAAACGTGAGAATTAAAAAAAAAATAAGAAAAAGGGTCGGTTACAAACATATATACATACATACATCTTATTCCTTTCTAAATCGAATCGGAATATCCACATCACGTTACTTTACTTACTTTTAAATGTCGCACGTGTGTTTTAATACACACAAATGAAACAAGAATAAAACATTGTTCTGTTAATCTTCAACGTTTGCGGGGGCGAACTTACGATCCTTTGAAAGGATCGATGACACGATCGATGACTCTTTAAGACTATCGGTTCATACACATCCGGGGGGAGAAAAAAAAAACCAAATAAAAAAAAAAGAAGAAGAAAAAAGAACGGGGAACTGGCTCCGGGTTTTAGTTGTTCGTCTCACAACCTGAGTCAAATGAACGAACGGTAAAAGGATGAGAAGGGAAAAAACTACAAAGGAGGGGGATAGTGGGGGGTGTTGTGGGAGAGTGGGAGGGGGGAGGGGGATTAAAGTGTTCAGTTACGAGGACTATATAAGCATCGGGGAAACTATGAAACTTGGATATAAACAGTTGAATCTTTCCTATGACAAAATCATAGGAACAAACACGTTTCTATATTTATATATTGCATTAAAAAAGAAATAATTGGAAATAAGTAAGATAGAAGTAGGAAAAGGGGGATAATAAATTCTATATCCCATGATTATTATATTTATTATAATATTGAACAAAAGGTTTAGCTGTGAAATTAATTAATTGATCGTTCGTTCGTTCGTTCGTTTGTTTGTTTTATTAGTTGATTCGATTTGAAAATATAAAAAAACACTTAATCGATTGGTTAATTAATTATCTTTACGTATTTAGAAATTACGTGGGTTTCGTGTCGTGTACGTGGGATATACCATTTGGAGTGTTTCGTCACCATAAGTGATCACATCGTTCTTTCTTATCAACGACACAACATTAATAACATCTGATTATGGATCATCGTCGAATTATTCTCATCGTTGCACGATCATTGGTACGTTTATTTTTATTTTTATTTTCTGTTTAATTTTGTCTGATCGTTCGTTTTTTTTTTTTTTTAATACTTCGTTAATTATTTTGATAAAAAATAAAAGTAATGAAGGAAAATAATTTTGTGCAAATGAAAGGTATTTGGAAAAAATGTATAAGCGCATATATGCGTCCATAACATTTGAAAAGGTTTACGAATTTGTATTATTGTTTTTCAATTTTTTTTACTAGTAATATTTTATAATATATATATATTGAATAGGAAAATATTAAATATGGTCAGTGCCTTTTATTGGATTAATATTTTTCAATAATTTAATATAGATAATCAATTATTTTCCATTATTACAAACTAATGATCAATTCTTTTTT